GTTCGAAGGACTATCACACTACAGGTATAAGGCTAGATATTAAAACTGTAGTGTGATAGTCCATCGAATAATATTATATAATCAATATCGTTCAAAGGACTATCACACTACAGGTATAAGGCTATATTTAAACTGTAGTGTGATAGTCCCTCGAATAATATTATATAATCAATATAATATCGTTCGAAGGACTATCACACTACAGGTATAAGGCTAGATATTAAAACTGTAGTGTGATAGTCCATCAAATAATATTATATAATCAATATCGTTCAAAGGACTATCACACTACAGATATAAGGCTATATTTAAACTGTAGTGTGATAGTCCCTTCATTATTACCACAAAGGTATTGAAAATGTAAGAATCACGAAGTCATTATTAGTTAGTGTGATTATTAAGTAAGTGCTCATGATCTACATGCAACCACCTACCATTAAAGAATTGTGTCGTGCGATTGTCAAGTAAACGTGTGAAATTATCACATTAAAGATCTATTGTCAAATTTAAAATTAAATTTTCAAATAACATATAAATTATCATATATTTTAATTTTGAAAATATTTACACTGTTTTCTACCGGATAATATATAAAAAGATGTATACACTTCCATTGACTGAAATTGTTTCATTGTTTTTGTCATTTTTCGAGATAAATTAGGGTTATCAGTGTTTTTTTGTGCATCAATTGCAAGTTTATATAATGACAAACACCTTTAACAATAACCCTTTTTAGCATGTCATTTTACCACGAACTGTTCATTATAACAGTTTCCTAATGGACTGACGGTTGTTTTATAGGATATGAATTTTTTTTATTACACCATGAAATCGCAAATGTTATTTGAAACAGGTTTTCAAGTCTTTGTTGCACGTGACATGGGAATTTGCAGACACGGAGAGTGGCGTTGAACGACAATACCTGTCGGTGTTCACCCATCATAATGGCGATGTCGATATACCCCTTACAAAGGTAAGACAGATGTCACACACTTTCCTATCATTCGACAATATTTCCAGCTATTCCTAGGAGGTCGGCTCTACCCACCAGAATCAGAAGACAAAAGTTTTGCTGACTGGTTAATTATTCCTTGGTTGGATTTATGGATACCCATTCGCACAGATTACATTCATTCGATTTGTGAGCGTTGAATACACTGACTGTCCTTGATACTGAGAAATTAATTTAAATAAATTATTATTTCTTTAATTTTTATATCTAGTTTTTTTTTTCTTCATACACATCCTATTAACTTGATATCTTGGTCACAAATAACTATTCTTCATTTATTCTTATTTATCAGAAACTTGTCAAACTGGCCACAATGTTCCATGACCAAAGACCTGGATGTGACTAAATTTTGAAGGTTTAGGGTCAAAAGTCAATGTCACAATTAACGAAAAACAAAAACTATTCTTTTTAAAAGTTTTTAAACCAGTTAAACCTGGCCACAATGTTCCATAGATCATAGATCTTGAACTGAAAATGACTAACTTCAGTAGGGTGAAAGGTCAAGGACACATTGATCGAAAAACTACTTGTTTAACTGTCTGCTGTTACATAGACGTGTGACCAAAGTGATATATATATGAAAATTGTTTGTTTAGAAGAGTTTCCCACACTACCAGCCCCGGGTTCCATCCCATGGCGTCTAATTGATGTTTTTCTCATTATTTTTATTTTCATGTAGAGACAATATGCTTAGAATTAATACTGAGGAGAATTATGATGTGGGTGGAGGTATGCACTCTCCAATTGCCCTCTAGTTGACTAGTTAATTATATTAATTAATTAATTCTAAAAATTGATATGATCAGTATTATTGTCAATATCTATCGACAAGTGTATGAACTCACTAACTATGCTTATACGTACATTTTAGGTTGCAGGATCTGAAGTTGATTATACATTTACAGACCTAGCCTTACAGGATGGCAGTAGATACCAAGTCAAAGTAGTAGCTTGCAACGCTGCTGAGCTGTGCACTGAAATGTCAACACAACAAATACTGGTATTAAGTGTGGAATTAATTACTTTCAATTAAGTTCGAACTTTCAATGAAAGCTTCAGTGGTCAGGTGGTTAAAATGCCTAGATATACAACTGCAGATCTTTTTCACACCCACAGATTCCTCTCTTTACCATTTGCAATATATATACTAATTACGAATAAATTAGTGTTCCTAAAGTCTATATATATGTAGCGGGTGTTTACCCCTACTTGATAGTAAGCGAACAGTATAAGAGACAGCGACAAAGGAGGAGAACAAATAAAAAAACAAACAATCCAAAGAACTACATAACATATTTTTACATTTGGAAGTTTTAAAATAATCAAAATAAATACCTATAGATGGATCTTTGTTTCATTTTATCACTGTCACTTAAAGGATTTATAAATTCCATGCAAATCAGTTAATTAATGCAAAACTGAGTAGGCCTATATCAATAAAACTATGAAAATTATTATGATATAGCAAAGAAATAGCCTGACCTGGTGGGGTGAGAGTGGTATTAATTACTTTGCTTGGTTCACCCCTCCCTGCAGATGTTTCAGCATAAACTATGATTTCATAAGTTGTGGCTGGCTCGAGGTTTGACAGCAAACATACTAAATTAACTCCGACACTGTGTGTTTGATTCCTTTCCAAATTAGTTTCTGCATCAGGCTCAAAAATTTTCTTTAGGATTTTGTATTGTACCTGAAATGAAAACAGTTTAAAAATGAACATGAATATCAGTGTAAACATTAACAACAAAAGTAATAATAAAATTAACAAAAATATTAACAATAACAATAATAATATTTATTATTACAATAATAAACTACATCTACGTTTAATTATATTTCATTTATTAACAATAATAATAATAATAATAATAATAATAATAATAATAATAATAATAATAATAATATGCGCTAAGTCGGATTAAAGGGGAATATCTTTTGAGTTATTTTCCCCATAATATCATTTCCACTTAATGTCATTTTTTTAATTGTTCTCTAATTTCTCCATTGTCTAAGTTCCCCTTAAGGTAGGTTTTAGTAACATAATAAAAATAATAATAACAATAATAATAATAATGATAATAATAAATTACATCTACATTTATTTATATTTCATACTTGAGTATACTGATCACATAAATTGCAATTGTATTGAGTTTCCTTGTGTGTATACTGCGCTTGCGCAGATATAATCTATGCTGTCGTGAAATTCCTGTGTAAAGCCTGGTTTCCATAAAATCGCTACACATTCGCTACAGTACACTGCAATCCTTGCACTGCGTAGCTGTCTCGGACACAATTGGGAACGCTCCCAGATCCAACTGACCAATCAGCACCGCCAAAGAGTCGCTGATAGCATGTAGCAATTCTTATGGAAGGCGTTAGGAATGTATTAAAAATTCTTGTGTAAGAAATTTCTGTGTAAAACAGCATACATGTGTTAAGGTTCACTTCAGTTGATATTATTTGACACTTATGTCAAGTACAGTGTAGACCTATGTTTTAATGACAGATGACTAATGGCTGATAGCAGGTTGTCAGACAATGATCTAGGCTATATTTAGAGTAATTTTGAATTAGCATCTGCAGTATGCTTACAAATTCCAGGAGCCTATTTTATATATTGGGTTTGAGGAGTAACAAAACATGCTACATAAAAACGGTAGGCCTACAGTATGGCTAGGGCCAGTCTACTGTGCGGACAAAATACATGGATTATGTAAATAGTTTTGGGAGAAATCAGTAAAATATGCTGTCAATATTGACAATGGTGATTTGCTTGATGTCTTTTGAAATTACTGGATATGAAATATAATTAGAATGTTGTAAATTTTGATCCTCAACTCATTGCTCATGGATCCAGAGGCTGAATCCTGCGATGAGTATGCAGGGGTCCTAAGTCTACCGGAACACCCGGGAGTCTCCTGGAAATCGCTACGGTCTCCCGCACTCCTGCAAACAAGCAAAAACCTCCCGAAAATTCACTTATCTCCCACAAATTCAATAAAAAACAAATATTTTTGTTTTATTTAGGCCTAAAATTTGGTTGTTGATTATTTTTTGCAGTCTGACAGTTCCATTTCTGGCTTCTAAAGGTGCCTATTCTAAAAAAATGTCATCACCTTAGACCCAATCATGGTAGGCCTGAGGTGGGCGTGGCCCTTTGTTTAATACCTACACTTTTTCCTCATAGAATATGTAGCACTCCCAATGTCATTAAAAGAATCTCCCAGAAATTGGTTCTTCTAACTTAGGACCCCTGAATATGTGATGATTTAAAACTATGTACTGTACCCGGTAACATTACACATAAAGAAAAACCACTTTCTAAGTGACTTGTCCCCAACCAAGATACTGAAAGCTTTCTACTGAATATAGAGTACAGGGATAAATTAAATGTATTTCAAAAATATTCTATAAAATTATTTTCTAAATTGTTCATGCCAAGAACTCACATGATAGTTGGTAACGACCCCATTTGGGTTCAGAGGTTGTTCCCATGTCATATGTAAATCTGTTTCTGTAGCATATTCAACAAGTAAATTGTCAACAGGGCCTGGTTCTAAAAAAAAAAAAAAAAAAAAACACAGATGGAAAGAAACCATATTATAATCGCAAATACAATTTTGATTGTAAGTCAACCTTAGTATACTAATACTGTACACATCTACAAAGTGATTCAACTTTGATTTCTGTTGCATATATATAATAACCACTTGTGTTCAGTGCTAGTTTATGCTAGGAAAGAGCCTGATCATTTTTTAAAGTTTCTTCACCATTGGTGCTGAATAAACAATCACATTCATTGGCTATAACATGAAAAATTAAATAGTTTTTTTAGCTGGGAACAAATGATAAATCAATTAAAAGGCAATGTGAAATGAAAACTGATAGAAAACAAAAATATGTATATATTTATTTCACTTAAGCTAAAACAATAAATAATAATAATTTTATTTAAAAGAAAAACAGTCAAGGAATTTCCAAAGAATTAAAGAAAAATAATCAAAATTTGGCAATTATTCAACAAAAATGGCAAATTAACAAATTGATTGACAATTGACAAATTGATTGACAAATTGATTGACAATTGACAAATTGATTGACAATTGAAAACACTGATTTTTCTTATAGGCTTACAAAAACCAAGCAAAATATATGTATATATATATAAATTAACAACAAAATGTTCAGAATTGATAAGGCACCAATTAAAGAAAAACTATTAAAATAAATCATTTAAATACTAAAAAATAAAAAAATCATTTAAATAAATCATTTAAATACTGAACATTAATTCTACTCAGTAGCAGCATTAGCAGGGGTCAGGGGGGACCTTCCCCTTTTAGACAACCACCTCCCACTGCCAGACTTATTGGACTCCATCAGCAAGCTTATGGAGCCACCACTGATTTTTCTTATAGGCTTACAAAAACCAAGCAAAATACAATGTTTTTTTTTGCTCTCTTAATTATCCTTTATTAATTTATTATTTATTATTTATTTTCAACTTAAATACCAAACCTCTTATGATGAGTAAAGCAAAAAAAATGTGAATTTAAAAAGTGGTCTCGTGTGAAAGAAACCCAATTTCAAATCAAAACTTATCTATTAATCTTAAACTATGTGTGGCTACAATATGTAATGGCTATAGTTATATACCAACACCACAATCACAAAACACATTAACAAACCACAATATCAACTTACTACCGGTAGTTGTGAAAACATAAAATTCATCACTCCACGGTCCAATTCCAACTGAAGTAAAAGCAGCAGCCTTGTGGAAGTAAAAAACATAAATGTGTAATTAACGATAACATTGTAAATGAACACCAATATGGCTGTATACAGTAGTGTTCACAGCTCTTTCGCCCTTACTTGTGTTTTGTACGCAAGAGATAAACGTGTATATTGGTTATCAATAACATAGTGGTATCCTTTGCTCAGCTTTAGCTAGTAAGATGGTTATATGAATTGGTTATATAAATGCTTTTTGGATGTTCATCACAACCACTTCCACAACCACAACCAACCACCACATTCATGATCACCACAACCACACCATCATCAATCTCCAAAACCATCAACTCCATAACCATCACTAACACCATTCCCAGCACTACAACCCCACCATAATACCATCAGTACCATGGTTACCCCCATTACTACCATTCACCACCAGTACAACCATCTCCAAACCATCAACTCCATATCATTAACAACATTCCCAGCACCACAACCACCAACATAACACCATCAGTATCATGACTACCACCATCACTATCATTCACCACCAATGCTACCACCATACAGCATATTTACCAAAATTCCAATCAATATCAGATACCTGAACAGAGTAATTAGTATTTGGCCGAAGGTCTTCAATAGTGGTAATGAAATCAATTTTGTCCCTCTCTCCATCAGGTACATCATATATGACTGACATGTGGTCATTTTCAAATCCATCCATTACTGTGTAATTGATCTGGTACATGACAACTATTCCATTGGGTGGCTTTGGTCTTGACCATTTAATTCGAAATGACTTGGTATCTGTATTACGGATCTCAATATTCCTTACATCAGAAGGAACTATAAAAAGACATCCCAAAATTAAACATTCATTGCATTTGCCATGAATGATCAAAACATCAAGGAAAAAGAACAATCATGAAACAAAAAAGTGATACCTAAAATTGACATATATGTATATAGGGTGTTTTATTAATATAAAATAAATATCACAATTCACAAAAAGGGGAAAGTAGAAAACAAAATTTGGAAAGTGTAATCATGAACCTATTAATAAGATTATTAATAGGTCCACGGTGTAATGAGTATCATCAAAAGAAATTAAAATAACACAATCAGTAAAATAGGTATTATTACTATCAATATATTACATAGAAGTGTTGGTATTAATGGTAAATTCTCACCTAGTCCTACTTTTTGAATTTGAAAGCCTTCCGAACTGACCAGAAAATTGGATCGGTATGTAAGAATAGTGACTGATGTTCAGCATATAATAAACAAGGTCCAAATGTTAGATTGGATTTGATGTAAATGCAGCTTCAATCAGAAATCAGTGCTAATTTATTTGTCATTTCCACATTAAAAGATGAATGAGATGGAAAAGCTCTCGGCCATAGTATTGATAAAATTATATGCATATACTGTATATAACAAAAAAAAAAATAATATTTATATAGCATAAGTAAAAAATATTCTTACTTGACTCATTCGTTGTTACATGTATTTCTTGGCTTTTTCCATCACCTTTGGAATTGAAACCTTTTACACTGAAAATGTAGTCAGTAAATGGATTAAGATTGTTAAATTCACACTGAAGCTCACTTGTCTCATTAGTGATAAGTTCTTTGCCATCTGTATTTTGCAAGCTAAATTTGTAGCCTCTGATGCGACCTCTTCTATAGCCACATTCTATTTCAGACCATGCAAAGCTGGCTCCTGTGGCTGACACAGCAGTAATGTTAACTTCTTTTGGACCACGTTTAGGAACTATATAAGTGATATATTAAAAAAAAACAGACAATAACTATCATCTTCTAGGAAAATCAGAAGTCAAAGGGGGTAACTAGGCCACCTAGTAGGACCCATGGAAGATTGCTTGACCAGGGGCTGCCCTCTGGATTGAACCATATTCTACTATACAAATGGTGATTTTCATCTTGAAAAAAGGGGGTTTTCTTCTTTTTGCTTGGAAATAGAAGTCCACCTACTGCACAGTAATTATGGGCTTGCATCATATCAAATCTTATGGGTGTCAACAGCAATTTATTGTGTTCTATTCAATCACTCTCAATTCTTTACCTTTTTCAGGAGTTCCAAATTCATGAGTAGTTTCCAGACCAAGTCCTGCATCTGTTTCAGCGCTAATAGTGACTTGATGTGTTGAATATGGTTCCAATTCTGATAAATTTATTTCAGCATCTTCTGTAGTAAATTGTTCATTTCTATAAACTTGTTGACACTGATCCTTTTCAGTCAAACTTAAATTAATATGGTAATTTAAAATGTCACAGGTCAAAGGTTGAGGTCTGTCCCACACCAATTTTGATCCCTGGACGTCAAAATTTTCAACTCTCTCTGGAACTAATATAAAAATTTAAAGAAAGTATGATTACAAGAAATACAAATTTATATACTGTATGCATTTTAATTTTGTTTAATTCCTTATCACATTGTTTTATTTATTGTGAATTGATCTTTTCCTGTATTTATCCATATTCACTTGTTTAATGTAACTTGCAACCTTCAATACACAGCTCATTAGTTTA